AAAGAGGGGCTGAGAGACACGGAGCAGAGTGGCCTGTCAGCAAGCAGGCCTCCAGGAGAGTGGCGAGACCTTGGAGCAGGAGTGTGGGGGATGGCATTTGTGCAGACACAGCCATGGCTGCCTGGTGGTGATTCTTGACCTACCAGAGGAGTGGGCATTGTCAGGACGCCTCCTGCACAGGAAGGAGCCGTGGAGAGACAAGCAGGCTGGTGGTACCTGCGATGAGCAGATGCTCTGAGACCAGCACAGGGCACCAGCGTCTGCCCCTGAGGCAAGCACTGGAGAAACAGGAAGCAGCAAGCTGACTGGGGGTGAACATCCAAACAAGGGAGAGTCCAGAGTGAGGAAGCTCACCCCTGCGGGGTTCTGCCAGAGGCAAGCCCAGTGCAGGAAGGACTGCTGGCCAGGATGGTCCGGGAGACCAGCTGAGGAGGCATCCCAGGCTGGGCACAGCTGCAGTGACAGCAGGAGCGTGGCCCTGGATACAGGACAGCAGCTGCTGGAGCTCAGTGCACGTGGAGGGCAGGGGAGGCCAGAGCACACCCATCCTGAGGCGGCTTACAGCCATGCAGGTCCGTTGGATTGTATCTGGAAGACAAAGGTAGCCTGTGCACACATTCAAATCAGAGTAGAGTTTAACCAGTTTGCAGGACTTGTACTGAGTTTTTAGAATCTCTTTGGGAGCAATGTAGATGGTGGTGGCTGGGTCAAAATGAGAAAGGGGGCAGAAGGCCAGTAAAAATGGCAAATAACTGAAAAGAACAAGGAAAAGGGTAGTGGAAAGAAAGAATGAGAGATTTTCAACAGTAGAATCTCCTGGACTTAATTCCTGATTGGACTTTGAGGGCAGAAGTGGAGGGGTGCAGGGGGAGGAGGCAAGGATGATGCCTAGGACTGTAACTTGGGCAAACGAGTCCATCGCGGGGACATGACCAGAGCCAGGAGGGCGGCTGCTAGAAGAGGAGACAGTGAGTTGAGGTGACAATGTGACGAAGGGGATGGGTCACTTAGGGGGCTTTGGCTGCGAGTAATAAAACCCCGAAACGGTGGGCAGTGCATTAGGTCACAGAGCAGGAGGCCATTCCAGCAAAGATGCAGCTCGCGGCCACGCCGGCTCCTTCTCTAACTGGGCCCCACCCGCCCACGGGTGCAGGTGGTTGTCGCCACCCCAATACCACAGGCTCCGCATCCAGAGGGAGGAAGGAAACCATCTCCCAGTCTGGCCAGCGGGACGACAGCCTCTCCTCGCCTGTCCCAGCCATCTCCCCATCAGCAGAATTGGGTCGCGTGCCCACTCCTTAAGCTCGCAGGGGTTTGGGCCGATCCTCAGGGGGAGTGGCGACCAGGGTCAGAGGCCAGCATTGGTCTGAAGACATCGTGGAGGAGCTATGAGAGGAGGCAGAGAGAAGGGGGCCTAGCAGAACCCCGAGACGCCCTCCATGTGAGGGGCTGCCGGAAGAAGAGACCTGACAGTGGTCGCTGAGAGCCTGACTCTGAACTCAAAGGGATGAGGGAATCCCGGTCCTGCTGCGGGTCGTTAGCAGGGGGACCTGGTGAGGGTCCCGGCGTCACTCACAGCCTTGCTGTCCCTGTTTGTAAAGTGGAACCACTAGGGCAGTGATGGCGAACCTATGACTCGCGTGTCAGAGGTGACACGCGAACTCATTTTTTTGGTTGATTTTTCTTTGTTAAATGGCATTTAAACAAATAAAATAATATCAAAAATATGTCTTTGTTTTACTATGGTTGCAAATGCCAAAAAATTTCTATATGTGACACGGCACCAGAGTTAAGTTAGGATTTTTCAAAATGCTGACACGCCGAGCTCAAAAGGTTCGCCATCACTGCACTAGTCCTACCCCCCAGGGTTGCTGGAAAGAGCTGATAAGAGATGAGCACAAAGCCTCACAGGACATCAGCCCCAGAAGCTCCTCTTGGCGGAAAAGAGACCAGACTCAGAGGGTCTGAGAGTGACAGGGGAGCCCCCGCGGGGATCGCATCGGATGACAGGTCAGCTCAGAAGCAGACTGAAAAGTGCCCCCTGGACTTAGCAGCCAGAAGGGCGCTGGGCCCTGGGCAAGAGCGCCGAATGGGGCGCAGGGGCTGGGAGCCAGGGGCCAGGGGCCACGGCCAATGTCAAGCCCCGAATTCCAGTTGCCTGGCTGCCAGCAGCAGGGGCCCTTCGCCAGCCAGGCGCTGCTGCTGCAGCTCGGAACCTGCTCCACGTCCTCCTCCGCGGGCGGGCCAGGGCCGCTGGAGCGCAGAGAGCAGCAGGCGCCACGCCCGCGAAGGCCCGAGGCAGCACTTGGACTTTTCGGCGGATAAACGAAGGCGCGGTTCCCTTCCCTTAGAAATAGGCATGTCCTTTCGGAGGCTTGCGTTGCATTATTTCATTGCTACGTGGTTCTTGTTTAATAGTCATATTTGCAACCACAAAAACAAACAAACAAAGCCCAAACAACATATGTACTTTGCATTAAATTTAAAAAGTTCAAACTCCTCATTCTTGAGGCAAAGTGAATGCACATTTTTGAGGCAAAGTGTGAGACTAGGAAAACCCTAGACCTAAGCAACTGGGCAAACCCACCGTTAATGAACGATAGCAGCTGCTTCTGAGACCAGCCGGTCACAGGGATCGTGCTGGTCAGGGCTGCCATTGAAAGCCTGGTACCGTGCCGCTGCTCAGCGCCGCCCCTGAGGCTCAGCGTCCTGCCGCCTCCTGCCCCCACTCCCGCTGGCTCACCGCCCAGTGGACGGTCCCTCAGCACCAGCGAGGCTGCAGCTGCTACTGTTTCTGGACTCTGGCAAGGAAAGTGGGCTTAGGACCAAGTCTGTTGTCCAGAGCGCCCTGTGGAAGGTGCTGGAAGAGAGCGCCGGACGTCTGGACTGCAGCACTGAGTTCACAGGCCCCGCAGGTGTGTCTGCCCCTGGCCTGGCTGTGTAAGTGGAGCCCACCTCAAACCAAACGCTGGGGCTCACCGAGGTGGAAGTTGGATGCCAAATATACCTACTAACTCCGCCATCTTCCCCACAGGCCTTTGGGACTGGAGGCGCAGCTGACCCCCTGCCGGGCCTAACTGCTCCCCAGCTCTCCCAGCAACCAGTTCGAAGGTTTGCTTACTTTAGTGCAGCGGCTCTCAACCTGTGGATCACGACCCCTTTGGCGGTCGAAGGACCCTTTCACAGGGGTCGCCTAAGACCATCCTGCATATCAGATATTTACATGACGATTCATAACAGTAGCAGCATTACAGTTATGAAGTAGCAACGAAAATAATTTTATGGTTGGGTCACAACATGAGGAGCTGTATTTCAAGGGCCAAAAGGTTGAGGACCACTGCTTTAGTGGTACCACAGCACCACCTAAATCTAAAACAAAATAATATTAAATGTAAATTGTAATTGAAAAATGCAATTTAAAGTTCTTTTTAAACATTTTTAAAAAGTATCCCAGCTCTTTTCCACTGTGAAGTCCACTGGAGCCTCTTGCATTTCAGGTTGTCAGATGCTGGGATGCTGGGGTGCTGGGGTGCTGGGATGCTGGGATGCTGGTTGGATGCTGGAATGCTGAGATGCTGGTGGGTGCTGGGGTGCTAGGATGCTGGGATGATGCTGGTGGGCCTCCTGTCCTGGGAGGAGCTGTGAGTGAGCTCAGTGCACTCCCTGAGCTCAGGGGCAGGGCCAGAGACAGCACACAGTGAAGGCGGGTCTCGGTCCTCAGCAGCTCTGAGACCTTGCTCCTCTGTCCCGTTGGCTAAGGAAGGAAGGTGACTGCGTGTGGCAGGGGGGCTGAGAGCAGCAGGAGACGGACAAGGAGAAGGGAGACCATGAGATCCTGGACACAGCACTGGGCCTAGTTTTTCTGTTTCCAGAGAGAGGCCTGCAAATAGAAAGCATGATTTAGTTCCACAGACGTTTATTAACAAATCAATTAATTATTATCCAAAGTAACAAGTGCTGAGAGACAGGGCTACGTGCAGAATATTGGGCGGTAAAGAGAGGAAAAGACTAGCCTTGACTGAGATACTTAATACAAGTTTCACAGAAAAAGAAGCGTTTGAATGGCTCCATCTTTCCTTCATTCAACACATAGTTAAGGAGGCTTATCACGTGCAGCACTGTCCTGGGCACTAGGCAGACGGCAGACATCGTCACCCCACGGAGCTCACTCGAATGCCGCCTGCATGTGTCGCCCGGGAGGTGCCCCTGGGAGAGCGCAGGCTGCGAAAACAGATGAGACAGTCCGACAAGTCACTTCAAAACTGTGCCGGCATTGCGATCCTGGAGGAATGGAAACATGATTAGAAGGGTCCATGGTTTCCAACCAGGGCCAGTTCCCTGGTCCACCCACCCCCAGGAGACCAGCATCTGGTACGAGAGAGGCCAGGGGTGCCTCTAAGCACCTCCCTGCCCACCCCCCACCCGGAATTACCCAGCCCCACTGCCCCTGCCCAGGCGGGGGAAGTCTGGCCTAGGCTGGGCTCAGGGGTGCTTGGGGAAGAGGTGCATTTGGTGTGAAAGGTGGAGGAGGCCAGCTGCTCAGGATGCCCGAGCAGCGGGGAACGAGGCGCAGGAGCCTGAGCCGAGGGTACAGGGAAGGTGGAAAGGAGGGGGTGGGAGCACATCTCCCAGCGTGTACGCAGCTGAAGGGAGGGTCTCTGCCCTGTGGTGGCGGCACGGTGGCTGGCGCAGCCTCCTCACCAATGCCCTCCCCCGCCTCGCCTCCTTGGAAAGCTGGAGCTCAGTGAGATTAGTTTGGTTTGGAGCCCTCACTCTAGGCGGTGCAGGTGGCTGGAGAGGGGAGAGGCTAAAGCGCGAGAGGCTTCTGCACCCAGAGGCGCGCAGGCGTGGCCGGGCAGATGAGAACAGAGGCGGGGCATTCCTTCACTGATCCTCTTTACTGTTGAAAGGACACATCATGTGTGCTCCTCCCCCATGGGCCCCGCTTCCCCCCCCCCCCCGCCCCCCCCCCAGACAGTTTATACTGATGAGTACTTGGCGTTTGGGGGAGAGGGTGGTTGGGAGCAGTGGCTCTGAGGCTCCCGGCTGAGGCTCCTGTGAGTGGTGAGGAGGCTCACAGAGAAGGGGTTTGCGGGGGACAGCGCTGATGGTCCTGTGGGGACATGCAGGGGACACATCCTGTTCACGGGTGCTGAGGAGAGAGCTGCGCTGGTGACGTGGGTGTGGGGTCGCCGTGGCCGTGGGAGTCTCCACAGTCTTGCAGGTGGAGAACCTATTCAGGGAAATGTCTGGGGAGACCAGGGGGCGAAGGGCAGGAAGCTGGGCTCACTCCTAATTAAGGGGCAGAAAGAGACGAGACCACAGAGGCGAGACCAGAGAGACAGGAAGAGCGTGACTCCACCACGGCAGGCACCCGCTTTAGGAACAAGAGGGGGAGCAAAGGGGACTCTGTGACACTTTCAACCACAAAGGTGAGTGACTTAAAGAAAGAATGAGAAAGGTCAAGCTGTCCACGAGCGGGGGTGGGGCAGGAGGCGGGAGGGGGGGGGGGCGGGAGGCGTGGGGGGGGTCGTCGGGCAGGAGGCGGGGGGGGGTGGTCGGGCGGGAGGCGGGGGGGGGGGGGGTGGTGGTCGGGCGGGAGGCGGGGGGGGGTGGTGGTCGGGCGGGAGGCGGGGGGGGGTGGTCGGGCGGGAGGCGGGGGGGGGGGGTGGTCGGGCGGGAGGCGGGGGGGGGTGGTCGGGCGGGAGGCGGGGGGGTGGTCGGGCAGGAGGCGGGGGGGTGGGTGAGGTCGGGCAGGAGGCGGGGGGGGGGGGGTGGTCGGGCAGGAGGCGGGGGGGGGGTGGTCGGGCAGGAGGCGGGGGGGGGTGGTCGGGCAGGAGGCGGGGGGGGGTGGTCGGGCAGGAGGCGGGGGGGGGGTGGTCGGGCAGGAGGCAGGGGGGGGTCGTCGGGCAGGAGGCGGGGGGGGAGGGGTGAGGTCGGGCAGGAGGCGGTGGCAGATGAGGGTTGGACATACCGATGACGATGACGAGGCCCTTGGCGACCTTCTCCGAGCAGCTTCACCGCCGTGGTGAGCGTGGGGTTTCCTTAAAGACGCGGACTCCCCAGATGCGGGGGAAGAACGTGGGAAGGAACCCTTACATCTGGGCAGGATTTGAACAGCAGCCGTTGTCCAGCTGCAAACAGGAAACCAGTATATCAACGAGGAGGCAGAAAACCAGACTGGCCAACCACAGCGCAGCTCATTTGCTGGAAAAGGCTTGGCGGCCAGCAGCCCATCCCGGGTTCAGCAGCTCAGCACCGTCATTGCGCATCTGGACTCATTCTGCTTTCCCACTCTGCCGTGTTTCACACGCGGACTTGTCCTCATCCTGGTGAGCACATGTCACACAGGGCGCCTGCAGCTCCAAGCGCCACGCCTCCCGCGGCGAAGGAGGCGGGCGGAAGGAGGCGCTCACCCTCTTTCCTTGGGAGACTTGCCCTTTAGGTGTCATTGGCCAGAGCTCAGCACATACCTTCCCCTGGAGCCTGAGGGTCAGGTACCGGGGTTGCAGAGCTGGCTGGCACCCATCCTGACTCCTCCCCTGCGGCTGAGCAAGCCCTGGCTAGATCAGAGGGGGAGCAATTGCATGTTCGAATGGGGAATTGGCTGCCATAAGCATCCTGTTTACCAGTGTCCGGAGTCTTCAGCATTTCATGTTCCACACAATTTTGCAACTAAAGCACATCCATCAAACAGCTTGTGCCTTCCATCTCTCACCCTTGTTAACAGCTCACTGGTCTTCACGCACCTCTGGGGCCTGGAGAACAGGGCGGTTAGGCGTGCGCATGGGCTAAGGGCCGTCTGGGGCCAGGACTCTTTCCGAGGGAGAGTAATGACACAGGCGACACTTGGGGCAGGAGGGGCACCTTCTGACGCAGGAAAGAGGGTCTCCAGCAACAGATGGCACCAGCTGTCGGAATTGCACAGGTTCCCCACGCGGCTCGGCTCACTCGAGACGGGAGAAGAGGGGCTTCAAGCGATCTGGCACAGCTCGGTGCCCAGCTTCACCCAGGCATCTCCCTGCTCCTCACCGAGGTCCTGGAGAGGCACCTGCATTATCCATTTTACTGCCCAGAAAACGAGGCCTTGAATGTCTACGCAATTTGCTTAAAGCTAAACAGCTCGTGAGAGCCAGCGATGAACCCGGTGCCCCGGCTCTGTCTCCAGACCACGGCCCAGGTGCCCCGGGCAGAGCGAGCTGGTGGGGGAATTGGGGGCAGACAAAGGGGTCCTGAAACCCATAGTCCTTGTTTCCTTAAAATCCCATTTCTGTTCCAAATATATTCCAAGATGTGTATATTTCAGGATGAGCACACATGCATGGCAGCGTGCTGGAAAGTCATCTGTAACAGAACAAAAGTAAAGAGACTGCAGGTACAGGATGACACCCATGCTACACCCAGAGTCCTAGGGGCGGAGAGAGGTCGAAGGCCAGCCAGCCTTTCTCCGGATAATCCTGGCTGCTCCAGGCTGGATCTTCACGCGGTCATTTTGCTGAGTTCAGTTTCTTTCCTTCCCATTTCCCAAGCTGCTGGCCTGCCTGCTTCGGGCAGAGGGGAGACGACTGGGGAGTGAGGCCCAGTTCCAACCACCGCTGTCAGCCCCTCTCCCTTCAAGATGACTTACAGAATTTGGGTTCCTTTCTCCAGTTTGGAGATTAGAGGTATTATCTAGAAATGGCATTATCACAAATCACAATCAGATCCTAAAGCAGGGGATCTGAAATGATGGGCTGTCTGTCCGAGGCTGCCCTCAGCTCACAGATCCCCACCCCCCGCTACCGGCGCCCAGGGCTGGCCAGGTGGTCGGGGGTGGCGGGCGCCCCGATTTCAGCCCTCACTGTGCAGAACACAGTAAGGAACGTGGCCCCGACCTAGCCTCGCCTCGTTCCCAGACTGCTTTCCAGGACTGAAAGCAGAACGCTGCGGACATTCTCACCCAGCTTGCAGAGACAGCAGGGACATTCCAGGAACTCCTTTTCGAGTATTGTTGGATTACTTAAATCCTGCAGCTTAGCTTGGAAAGACTCAATTAAAAGGAGTTTTAGGAAAACTTCAGAACCATGAAAGGCCCAAAGCCACGTTCAAAAAGAGATGAGAAAGGGGTGGCGGCAGCAGCCTTTTGTGGTTCCTAATGGCCTCCCAGCCCTGGGCGGCCGGGCTGCGTGTTCATCACCGAGGTTTCCGAGTCTTCTCTTCCCATGAACCCCTTTTCCCTGAGCAATCAATGCCCCTGGCTCCTCAGAAGGGCTGAATGTGTGGGACCCACTGACTGTTATAAGAAGTTGCCAAAGGTCATTCAGATATGATTTCTTTAATCAAAATAGCTGTCTCTAGAAAGCCTGATTGGACTCACTATTTTGGTTTTTAATCCAAACAACTGTTTGGCAGTTGTGGCCATTTAAACACACCCAGGAAAACAGGGGGTCCGCCTTTATTCTATCTATGTGATGGCAAGCTTAGGGAGCGCTCCCTGAAAATCACACACTTTGGGGAGATAAAATGTTTAAAGTTGTAGATAAAACAGAAGTGCAGTCCCAGATCTTTAGGCTTTTTCAGGCTCTTTACCAGGAGCTTTTCGCAAGCGTCTCTGATGGGGAGGCAGCTGCCCGCCCCAGGCCGTGGGCACTCGGTGCACGCACTTCGCGGCCGTAGGAGCACATCCGGCAGCATCACTCCGTTGTGGAGAAGTTGGTCAACAATCCAAGCACAGTGTCAATTTAAAATATCTTTTAAAGGAACAATAAAGATTTAATCAGGAGGAACCAAGATGGCGGCATAGGTTAACGCTGGAGTTTGCTGCTTTGAACAACTACTTCAAAAGTGAAACCAAAAAACGGAAGGGACATCACCCAGAACCACAGGAACGCTGGCTGAGTGGAAGTCCTACAACTAGGAGGAAAGAGAAACGCATACGGACACTCAGAGGAGGCGCAGTGCTGAAGTCAAATTCTGAGGTGCGGAGTGCGTGGAGCGGGCTGGCGACGGAGGGCGCGGTTGGTGTTTTCAATCGGGAGGGAGTCGCAGACTCTGAGCTCCAGATCCGGGCGAGTCTTTAGGGACCCAGACTCAAACGGGAGAAGTGGGACTGTCTGGCTTCGGTCAGAGCGAGTGCAGCTTTCTCTCTGAGCTTTGCAGCGGGTGCTGGGACTCAGAGAGGCAGAGCCCCTGGGGACGGGACTGAGAGCCGCCATAACTGCTCTCTCCGGCCCACCCTGTTGATCCTGTGCGACCCGCCCCGCCCAAGCCCTGCACACAGGCATTTGCTGGATAGCCTCAGGCAAAGGCTAGATTAGCACCTCCCTAGAGGACAGAAGTTCTCTCACTGCTGACACAGCTGATTCTCATAGCCACTTGGCCTGGAGGTCAAACCCTCCCTGGAATTAGCTACAACAATCAAGATTTAACTATAAGACTGCGAACAAAGACCACTAGGGGGTGCACCAAGGAAGCATAACAAAATGCGGAGACAAAGAAACAGGACAAAATTGTCAATGGAAGATATAGAGTTCAGAACCACACTTTTAAGGTCTCTCAAGAACTGTTTAGAAGCCGCCGATAAACTTAATGAGATCTACAAGAAAACTAATGAGACCCTCGATCTTATATTGGGGAACCAACTAGAAATTAAGCATACACGGACTGAAATAACAAATATTATACAGACTCCCGACAGCAGACCAGAGGAGCGCAAGAATCAAGTCAATGATTTGAAATGCGAGGAAGCAAAAAACACCCAACCGGAAAAGCAAAATGAAAAAAGAATCCAAAAATGCGAGGATAGTGTAAGGAGCCTCTGGGACAGCTTCAAGCGTACCAACATCAGAATTATAGGGGTGCCAGAAGATGAGAGAGAGCAAGATATTGAAAACCTAATTGAAGAAATAATGACAGAAAACTTCCCCCACCTGGTGAAAGAAATGGACTTACAGGTCCAAGAAGCTCGGAGAACCCCAAACAAAAGGAATCCAAAGAGGACCACACCAAGACACATCATAATTAAAATGCCAAGAGCAAAAGATAAAGAGAGACTCTTAAAAACAGCAAGAGAAAGAAACTCAGTTACCTACAAGGGAATACCCATACAACTGTCAGCTGATTTCTCAACAGAAACTTTGCAGGCCAGAAGGGAGTGGCAAGAAATATTCAAAGTGATGAATACCAAGAACCTACAACCAAGATTACTTTATCCAGCAAAGCTATCATTCAGAATTGAAGGTCAGATAAAGAGCTTCACAGATAAGGAAAAGCTAAAGGAGTTCATCACCACCAAACCAGGATTATATGAAATGCTGAAAGGTATCCTTTAAGAAGAGGAAGAGGAAGAAAAAGGTAAAGATACAAATTATGAACAACAAATATGCATCTATCAACAAGTGAATCTAAGAATCAAGTGAATAAATAATCTGATGAACAGAAAGAACTGTTGATTATAATAGAATCAGGGACATAGAAAGGGAATGGACTGACTATTCCTGGGGGGGAAAGGGGTGTGGGAGATGCGGGAAGAGACTGGACAAAAATCGTGCACCTATGGATGAGGACAGTGGGTGGGGAGTGAGGGCGGAGGGTGGGGCGGGAACTGGGAGGAGGGGAGTTATGGGGGGAAAAAAAAGAGGAACAAATGTAATAATCTGAACAATAAAGATTTAATTAAAAAAAAGATTTAATCAAAAAATAAAAATAAATAAATAAAATTAAAATTAAAATCAAGGGGAAAAAAGGAAAGATATGTAATACCCTTTATAATACTTTAAGCAATAAAACTAAAAAAAAAAAAAAATCAAGTGAATAAAAAATCTGATGAACAGAAAAAAAAAAAAAAAATAAAATAAAATATCTTTTAAAAAACCACAAGCACAACTACTTCCACCCAGCCACCCGAGTGCCTGTGCTTGCTGATGCGTTGTTAGCAACATTACGTCGCCATTGGCTAAGCTCTAACATTGGCTTCAGCGAAGCTGTGGATGCGATGTGGGTCTTGCATTTGAGGAAGATGTCCATTGCCTGCACATAGTTGGCACCTTGGGCCTGCTCTGGGCGCAGAGGCCAGCGTGTGGTGAGGCCCGCAGTGGTCCTCGCGGCGCCGGCTGGCAACCTCAGGCAAGCCTGCCAGCACGCGGGCGTCTCCAGCGCAGCAGGCCTTTCCCAGGGAGCCTTGGCACAACGCCGGGACCTCCGCCCACAGCACAGAGGCACGGAGGTTGCGGCGGTTGCTTCAGCAGAACAAGTGGAAAGTGATAAAGGCATCACTTTGTTTCCTACCAGCTGTCATAGTTGTGCAGCTCTGACACCTGGGAGGAAAGTACTGAAAACCAACAGGTATCATACATATAAGTATGCGTTTTCTGTTGCTGCGTGACAAATGACCCCACA